GGGGGGGCATTTTCACACCCCTGAGCGCAGCAAGTTGCAACGCTGTACAGCGCCAGTGTAGCCAAGGCCTTCGTGTGAATTTAAACCAGCATATATATCTCACCATGTGGACAGCTACTCCAGTTAAAGCAGCTTTTTTCTGGTTTAGCTTATGTCGCTTGGGACAGGGTTTAAAATAAGCTGAAAAAAGTCACTCCTATACTGCAATAAAACTGTCCACATGGGAGGTTTAACTGATATAATAGTAAAACTTTTATAACTGGTAAAACTTTCCTGTGTAAAGAAGAAAAGGATCACTGATGTCTAGAAATTTAACATATTTTCCTTTTAGTCTTCTGTAACTAAGCTGAGAGTACGTCATTTAGTGTAGTTTACAAGCAGTTTAAATCTAGATATGTCATGCAATTCGTTTCTTTGGGTTTACTAGAATAGTTTCTCTATTTTGAATATATCTGGTTTGTTTTTAAGGAGATGATAGGAGTAAGACTAAGTAAGGATGAGACTCTGGGTAATTTCACTCTGGACAACCCAAGAGAGCAAAAGTGTTCTATTCCCAGTCCTGCCACTGGCCAGCTGGGTGACCTTGGGCAAGTCCCTTACCCCTCTTTGGGTCTCTGGCCAGGTCTACACTATAAACTTACATCAGTATAACTACGTCGCTCAGGGGTGTGAAAATTCTTGTGGAGGTGGATTAAATATGCCAAGGGGAGAAGCTCTCCCAGGGGCATAGTAGTGTCTTCACTGAAACTGCTGCAGTGCAACTGTGCCGCTGCAGCATTTTAAGTGTAGACCTGCCCTCTGTCCCCCTCCCCATTTGTCTGTCTTGTCCATTTAGCCTGGGAGCTCTTTGGGGCAGGCACTGTCTCTCAACATGTGTATGTGCAGCTCCTGCACAGTGGGGCCCTGATCTCAGTTAGGGACTCTAGCCTGGATTGTAATGGAAATAATAAGCTGAGAATGCTGATGGCTACCTAGAGCTCACCACTCGACTCGGGACAAAGGATAGGGACGAAGGGGACTCTGAAGAGGAATGGTGTGTCAGAACAAGGAACAGAGAGATGCTGACACAGCAAAGAGGAGATGCATGTTAGAGGAGATGAAGATGATAGGTAGGGTGTCCTGTGGTTCTGACTTAGAACTTGTGTTTAATATATTTATTACTGAAGGAACAGGGTGAGCAGCGAGGTGACAACATTTGCAGATGACACAAAAATATTTTAGTTTAGTCACATATAAAGGAGGCTGAGTGCAGAGGGATCTAGCAAAGCTGAGGCAATGTGATGGCAGAGGGAATTCAGTGCAGATAAGTGTGAGGTAATGCACTGGACAACAGCCTTCATATTTTTTAATGAAGATTCAATTTATCTAGGAAGTGCTTAGATACTACTGTGATGGGTGCTATCAAAACCCTACTATAGATAGATACGAGATATTTTTTATAACTTTCCATTCACTTGATTAGGGAGTGCTGCTTAAAAATTAATGGTACTACATGGCCAATGAAAAGGAACAAGATGAACTACTCGTACACAATGCTAGTAACATCTCAGGAAAAAGGCCTACAAGTCTTGGTGTTCAACTGAATGAAAAGCTCTGCACGATGTGCAGCAGTGGGTAACAAAGAAACACACACAAGACATATAAACAGTTGGATAGAAAATAATACTGAGAATATTCTAATGCCACTATATAAATCAATGGTGTGTGTAGTTCTGGTCACCCCATCTCAGAGAGGACATAGGAGAAACGGAAGGTATTCAGAGATGGGTGACAAGAATAATTACAGGCCTGGAAGAGACTTTTGTATGGTGAGAGACTGAAAAGATTGGAACTGTGTCAGAGAAGAGATTAATGAGAAGACATAGTAGAGGTGTATAAAACAATAAATGGGATAGAGAAGATGCTCCTATTTGCCCTCTCTCTCCATACAAGAAAAAGGGCACAGGCAATGAAACTGAGAGACATAAAATGTAAAACTGATAGACATGCTATTCTACACAATGCATAAATAACCTGTGGAAATCTCTGCCACAGGGTGTATGGAGGCAAACAGTAGCATTGACATTAGACATTGATGTGAAGGACAGAAATACCATCCCTAGTTACAATGGCTAGGAGGAACATTTATAAGGGGTGCTTATGTAAAGAGCAGAAGCCAGCCACCCATTTCCTGGATAGATGCAGCAGCTTTCCCCCATGAGTAGGCTACTGGAAAACTTTTCATTAGGGGAGTTTCACACCTTCCTTTGAAGGAGGTGGGAATAGCCACTTTTGGAGACAGGTGATGGCAGTAGAAGGACAATTGCTCTGATCCTATGGACGAGAGACCATTCTAGAGTGCTGTGTCTAGTTCCGGTGTCCACACTTTAAAAAGGCTGTTGCAAAACTGGAGAGGATTCAGAGAAGGGCTACACAGAATGATTTGTAACATGCCTTACAGTGAAAGAAAACTTACGGAGCTCTAGCTATTGAAGGGTAGATTAAGAGGGGATCTAATCACAGTCTGTAGGTATCTACGTGAGGATCATATTGCTGATACCAGAGGGCTCTTTACTCTAGCAAAGTTCCAGTGGCTGGGAGCTGAAGTCAGCAGTGTTCAAACTGAAAATAAGAGGTAAGATTTTACAGGATTGTAGTGAACCCTGGGAACAGATCCCAAAGGCTGCGGTGGATTCTCCATAACCTGGAGCATTTAAACTGAGTTTGGATTCCTCTTTCTAGACACACTTTCTCAGTCAACCACAAGTTACTGGGCTGGACGCAGGAGTTACTGGGTGAGATTCTCAGGCATGTGATGTGCAGGAAGTCAGACTAGATGATCTAATGGTCCCTTCTGTTCTGAACATCTATGCAATCTCTGTGGTCGTTCCTAATCTCCAGAAGACAAATCCCCACCATGCAGACAGCTCCCCACAGTGGAGCCCACACTGATCCCTGCATGATCCTCAAATGTCCAGCTGTTCAGAATGTTTGGGTGGGGAAGGTCAGTAGCGGGTTCTCGCCCTTGTGGATTTTCTCATGTCTCTTGTGGTGGGAGCTGTGGCTGAAGCCCTTCCCACAGAAGGTGCAGATGTAGGGCTTCTCGCCCGTGTGGATGCGCTGGTGCTGGGTCAGGGTGGACTTGTCAGTGAAGCTTTTCCCACAGTCAGAGCATGTGTAGGGTTTCTCTCCAGTGTGGATGCGCTGGTGCCGGAAGAGGTTGGAGCTGACACTGAAGCTCTTCCCACAGTCAGTACATTTGAAGGGCTTCTCGCCAGTGTGGATCCTCATGTGCTTGATGAGATCAGCATTCTGGCTGAAGCTCTGCCAGCACTCGGTGCACGTGTTCAGCACCTCCACCTTCCTCCTGGCCTTGGCCTTCCCCACGGCACCCTCACGCTGCTGCGGTGACGAGCACTTGCCTGGCCTCTTCCCCATCAGGTGCCGCAAGTGCTTCTTCTTGTGGGAGCTGCGGCTGAAGCTCTTCCCACAGTCAATACACTTGTAGGGCTTCTCACCCGTGTGGACACGCTGGTGCTGGGTTAGGTTGGACTTGTCGCTGAAGCTCTTCCCGCAGTCAGGGCAGGCGTAGGGCTTCTCGCCCGTGTGGATGCGCTGGTGCCGGCTGAGGCTGGAGCTGACGCCGAAACATTTCCCACAGTCAGGGCATTTGTAGGGCTTCTCATCTGTGTGGGTTCTACGATGGTTGATGAGACTGGAGTTCTGGGTAAAGCTTTTCCCACACTCGATGCAGATGTTGGGGCTCTCCTCCGTCTGGGTTCCCTGGTGCACCACAAAATCCTTTCGCTTCTTAATTCCTTGGATGAGTTTCACTGGTCTCTTCTCCATGGGCTCTGGCTCCTCTGGCCTGCACTGGCTCTCACAGGGTTTGTCCTGCTCAGGGCTCTGGCTCACAGTCCTCTTGGATTTCCTGGGTGACATCTTCAGCGTATTGGCTTCCCTGGATAATGATTCAGCTCCTTACATTCAGTTGTACCCCATTGTGAGCTGCAAAATCAAAACAACTCTTCAATTAATTTCTTTAAGACTGTATTAGTATTTATGGAGCATCCATCAGAAATACCCACTCAGAGAATATTAAATTCTTAGTCCCTTTATTACGGTGCAAACCCATCACCTAGCACCAAGACTAAACCCAATGAGACATTTTTAACACCCCAGTAATAGATTCTCTGACTCAAACACTAGAAAAGAGCATAATCCAAGGAGCCGCTTTGGGGGATCCCTCTGACCATGTCCCCAGGGCAGCACATTCCCCCAGCAGCAGGGGGAATAGGCAGAGGCAGGAACTGGCTTTTCCACTCTTTACTCCTCACCTTGTCCCAGGAAAGTCAATCTGCCCCGGGGTGCTGCAGGGAATGGGGCTGGGCAGGGCTGGGAGCCGGGAACCTCCTTCCCCACTGATTGCTCCTGCTGCCCCTGCCAGTCTCTGTCCCTGTCTCCCTCCGGCCCCCTCTCCCCTCCCCTCCCCTGTCACAGGGAGCTGGCTCGGCTCCTGCAGGCGCTCAGGGAAGCAGAGCCTGGGGGGTGGGGGGGGTCAGGGAGAGCAGCAGCTCTGGGACTCGCAGACCCCCGCCCCCCCGGGAGCGGAGCTGGGGCGAGAAGGGGCCGGTGGTACAGAGTCACTTTCCTGCCCGGCCCCAGCCCTTTCCCCCGGGTCTCTCCCCTCACCTGCAGGCTCCGGCTCAGGGGCTGGTGTCGGCAGAGCCCGGGGCTGCCCCAGGGGCTGGTTCCAGCCACCGGAGAAAGTCCCCCCGGCTGGGCACAAAGGGGCGCTAGGGAAGGGCTCTCCCCGCACACACCCCGCTGGGGAGCAGCAGCGGCTCAGCCCCGGCTCCCGGCTCACAATGGAGGTGGCGGCAGAGTCTGACCCAGGAAGCTCAACCCCCGATGTGCTGAGCAGACAGGCAGAGAGCAGCCGCCTCCCTCCCTTTGCAACAACCAGGGCCCTCTAGCGACAACATTTAATGAAAACCCTTTCCCTGCGCTCCCCACCGGCACAGAAATGCCTCACGGGGTGATGCGGCCAGAATCCTTCTCTCCATCCTGAGCACAGAGAAACCTCCAGAGCAAATGGACCAGAGACAGAGCCGCAGAGAAACCTGCCCCTGCTGCCAGCCAGGGATTCTGAGAGCCCCTGGGGCCTTTATTTCAAGGATGCCTCAGAAAATTCCTGACTGGAGTTCCTGGACTCTCCTCCTTCCTGTCCCCACCCCTTGTGTTCATCATGGGTGGGCGTGCCATGCCAAGCCATAGAATCATAGAATATCAGGGTTGGAAGGGACCTCAGGAGGTCATCTAGTCCAACCCCCTGCTCAAAGCAGGACCAATCCCTAGACAGATTTTTACCCCAGTTCCCTAAATGGCCCCCTCAAGGATTGAACTCACAACCCTGGGTTTAGCAGGCCAATGCTCAAACCACTGAGCTATCCCTCCCCCCATCTCTTTGCCGGTCTCTTCCACCCAAATCAATTGGGCCAAGAATTCTGGCCTGATGGTCTGGGATGGGAGGCAGGTGGGATCCCTCCCACCTGCTCTCCGTGCCAGGGGTGTGTGGTGGGGCAAGGTGCACTAGTTCATGTTAGGGTAGTCACTCATGCATACCTGGAGTACTGGACATTCTGGTACCTCCAAGGCCTGGTAAGGCCTATTAGATACTGGGTTGCAGGGGGCATCCCATGGGTAGGCAGAGGCAGCAGGTCCAAACCCCTTTGCCTGTGATGAGTGGCTTATACTGCAGTCTGCCCCAGTGAACGGGGGCTAGATGGAGACTGGGCAGTAGCCAAGACTGAGGCGAAGTGGGGATAGTGGGTGGGGGTTACCCTGGGAGGGGGAGCCCCAGAGCTGTGAGGGGTTATTGCCAGGGGGCAACACCCCAGACAACAGGGCACTGGGTCCGGGAGGGACACAGGGGCCAAGTGGTAGCTGACACTGGCCTGCAGAGGGCACTCCAAGGCTGGAAATGAGCTAATTCCCAAGACGACCAGCAGGAGGCACCGCAGAAGTCAGTCCCACACCTTTACACCACCTTATAGTCCATTCATCCAATCCATACTTCTTTAACTTGCTGGCAAGAATACTGTGGGAGACCGTATCAAAAGCTTTGCTAAAATCAAGATATATCACATCCACCGCTTTCCCCATATCCACAGAGCCAGTTATCTCATCATAGAAGGCAATCAGGTTGGTCAGGCATGACTTGCCCTTGGTGAATCCATGTTGACTGTTCCTGATCACCTTCCTCTCCTCCAAGTGCTTCAAAATGGATTCCTTGGGGATCTGCTTCATGATTTTGCCGGGGACTGAAGTGAGGTCTGTAGTTCCCCGGGTTCTCTTTCTTCCATTTTTAAAATATGGGCTCTATATTTGCTTTTTTCCAGTTGTCCGGGACCTCCCCCAATCACCACGAATTTTCAAAGATAATAGCCAATGGCTCTGCAATCACATCAGCCAACTCCTTCAGCATCCTTGGATGCATTAGATCTGGACCTATGGACTTGTGCATGTCCAGCTTTTCTAAATAGTCCTTAACCTGTTCTTTCACCACTGAGGGCTGCTCACCTCCTCCCCATACTGTGTTGCCCCATGCAGCAGCAAAGGGAGGGGATGGACCCGACAGCACTCAACCAGTGTATGGGGCTGCCCACCCTCCAAGTGAGGGCAGCCTTGCCTCATGCTTCTCTCACTTTTCTTGAGCAGGTCCTTTGGGAGAGTGCCTCCTGTCCATCTCTCACCCCAGGCCCTCTGGAACTCATCGTACCCCTGACTCCCGACAGCCTCACCGGCTGCTCCCAACACGCCACCTGAGTCAGCTGCATGACATCCAGCCAGTCCGTGTCCGAACCACACCCAGAAAATACCTGTACTTGCTCATGTGTCACACCCTCAACTTTCTCACCTGCCTGTCCCACCCCAACACCACATGGTGGGACCTGCTGCTGCTTGAGGAGCAGGAGGAACGCCAGCCTCTACTCTCCTACCGTATGGTTCCATAGCCCGCCAGGGATATTAGTTGGCAGCCCCTCCATGGAGCCATAAGCACAGGCATGTACCTGGCGTGGTTCATGAACTCACCTAATTCCTGTCCCTTCTGCAGAGACGGAGACCCTGGCGCACATCTATGTAAGATGCATCAAGGTGCTTTTCCTCTTCCAGAACCTCTTACTAAGGTTCTGACTGCGCTTCCCTGCGCATCCTAATTCATTCACACCCATCTGCGGCCCCCCAAAGTCATGAGATCTTGTCAACCTCCTTCTGGCACTGGCCAAGACAGCCATCCATCACTCCAGAAGGAGGACTCTGGACCAAGGGTTCTCTGTGACTGAGAAGCCTATTTCCACTCCCTCATCTGATCATGCTGCAGGGCAGAGTTCCTCTGGGCGCTGTCCACTGACTCCTTAAGACACCTTTGAAGCAGTGGGTGCTGTCAGGGATTCTCTGCTCAGTTTCCCTTTCTGGATCCCTCATTTCCAACCTTTAATCTTCACTCCTGTCCCTACTTTTTCATTTGTTGTCCCCAGAATTCACTTGTGGCCTGGGTCCAATGACTGGGCCTAGACCCGTCTGCCCCAGCACTCTTAGTACCTGTTGTGCCAAGGAGATGCAGGCCAATGCCCATAAGGATACCACAATTGACAACTGGATTGCTGGCAGGGGTTGTTCTGTGTAAATAGTCATAGAAATAACCACTTTCTTCTAACACTGAATTGTAATGTTGGAATAATGGAAGCAGAATTAACCCTGGAGCTGCTCTGCATCTATCTGTCTCACTGCAGAGCTTCTGCCCGGAGCCCTTCCCAGCCCCCTCCTGCTGCTGTCCATGACCCGCAAATGGCCTTGGTGGGTGGGTTGGACATTTCTTGTGAGATCTTCAGATCAGATCTGCTACAAGTCAACCTCTTAGCCAGAAATTCTGGCGTTGTTTGCTCTCTGGGTACTGTTTGTCTCCAACTCTGTGGGGCTGGCAGACCTGCAGCTCGGGATAGCTCTATGGGGCTACACAGTATGGGAATGTGGGGGAAGTGGCAAAAGAGCAGATGAGAAACCTATTTAGCAGGAGCTGTCCTGAGACTTGCAAAGAGGTACTGAGTAGGGGGATTCACACAGGGTGATTAGGGAGAATTGATCATGGAGGGCACTCATTAATTATTGCGAGGGGGTAGGAGAGTTAATTGCTATCAGGGAGCTGAATGATTTTAGGGAAGCAGCAGAGAATTGATCTTTAGAAGTGAGAATTGATAATGTCTGAGCAGGGGAATATAGAGTAGCTATCTCAGAAAAGAGATACAAGAACAATTCAACCTTGGGAAAACTTGCCTTGCAGTGAGAGACCAAAGTAAGGCCTGGTCTACACATAAAATGTAGGTCAACATAGCTACGTCCCTCAGAGGTGTGAAAAATCCACACCCGTGAGCAGCTGCTTAGCTTTGCCAACCTAACTACAGATGTAGACTCAGCTAGGTTGATGGAAGATGCTACTGTCAATCTAGCTACCATCACTCAGGGAGGTGGTTGTCCTACAGCACCGAAAAAAATACTTCCATAGCCTGCATCTGCATTACAGTGTAATGCTGGCATAGCTAAGGCACTGTAGCTATGCTGTTATTGTCCATGTAGTGTAGACAAGGCCTTAAGGAGCTAAATCTTTAGCACCGTGTTACCACCTCTGGTGATTTTGCCACCATCCACAATAGTAAATGCTTTTTAATGTTCTGTGTGATCGCAGACACTTACTGGTGTCAAACATGTGTGTTTGCCTGATTCAATCCTGAACCATCTATCTACAGGGTTGTTGAGGTTTATGGGTTAAGCAGGAGTTAGTGCACCTCAAAACTAGGACAAAAACTTCAGAGGTGGAATCCTGCTCCTTATGGCGTCAATTACATAGCTTCAATTGTCTCCCAAAGGGCCATGTTTCTATCCAGCTACTTTCTTACTCTCGAAGGCTTTAGCTCATGAGTTATTGCACATGATGGAAACCTCTCTGAAAGTTAAATCTGCTGGGGAAGAACGGTAGCTTTTCTCAGCTAAATGCTGGAAGTGTTTGCAGGGTTTCAGCCAGAGTGTTCTCAGCTTACTCACAAAGCTGTTGGGTCAAGTCCAGCTTTCTCCAGCACACACAAACAAGCACAGATAGACGAGAAGGCAGGAGAGAGAAATACAAGAATTGATATTCCATTTCTGGTCCAGTGGAAGGTGCGTGGTACAGAGATGCCAACTTTTGTACAGATTCATGTGTGATGTTTTAGGCAAATTATTTAATGAGCTAATTTGCATATATATATAATTACTACTCCTGATTGGCAAAGTATTGTGTATAGCCTATTATTTTTGTTACCTCAGTTCGGTCCCTTTGTTCCTCTTATCCATCTGTTATATGCTAAGCTCTCTGGGACAAGGACTGTCACTAGCTGTATGTTTGTACACCACCCGGCACAGTGGAGATCGGACCTGGATGAGGCTTCTAGGCTCTATCGCAGTCTAAATGTTAAATAAATAATGTAACTGTAAACTTATGAGAGGTACCCATGCAACCTTCGCCCTGCCCCTTGTGCAGGTGCATTATAATACATTCTGTCACTGCATGATCACAGACTGTGTTTTCCCTCAGGAGGATTTGGGCTGAGGCCATGCAGATCCACGGCCTGGATTTCTTCTTGAGCTAATGGAGCAACTGGTAGCAGAAGCAGGCTGCTAGGCATCTACGTCCCAAGTTTAGGCTCCACTGTGATCCACAAACCCCACTCCACTTCCTGCAAGCACCGCAACTTACCTCATCTAAGTTTTCAGGGTAAAAGTTCCCTAGGTGCCTATGTTTCTGCCTCTGAGCATACACACTGCTGCCTG